GGGTTTGAACCGCCAGCCTTCTGGTTAGCAGTCAAGTGCCTTAGACACTATGCTACCAGAGCTCCTGCAGTGAACATGGGTGTGCATATATCTATTCATGTCCTAGCTCTCACTTCCTTAGGCTATATACTTAGTAGTGAGATTGCTGAATCAAATTATATTTCTATTTCAAGTTTTTAAAGAAGTGCCATATCATTGTCCACAGTAGTCATACCATTTTACAGTCTCACCAGCAGTATGTAAGAGTTTCAATCTCTCCACATTTTTACCAGCAATTGTTGTTTGCTGTCTTGAACTTTGCTATTCTTGCTAGGGTGAGATGCTATCTCATTGTTTTGATTTGTATCTCTTTAATAGTTAATGGGGAGCTCCAGTAGCATAGTGGCTAAGGCACTGGACTGCTAACCAGAAGGCTGGCAGTTCAAACCCACCAGCCATTCCTTGGAAGGAAGATGGAGCAATCTACTTCCTTAGTGATATGGCCTCAGAAACCCAAGGAGGGGTTGCTATGAGTTGGGTCCAACTCGACGGCACATAACAACAACAACAACAATAGCTAATGATCAAGAGCATGTCTTCATGTATTTGTTGGCCACCTGAATATGTTCTTTGGTGAAATGTCTCTTCATGTCCTCTGCCCACTTTTTGATTGGATTGTTGGTCTTTTTGATGTTGAAGTGTTGAAGTTTTCTGCAAATTTTAGGGATAAATCTCTTGTTGGATAAGTTGTTGCCAAATATTTTTCCCAATCTATAGACTCTCTTTTCCCTTTTTTTTTTTTTTTTTTTGAGAAATCTTTTAGTGTACATAAGAATTAATTGAGCCTCAGTTTCTTAATTTGTTAAATAGTGTAACAATACTGACTCTGGAGATTTGCTATCAACCAGGATCACTGGTCTGATGGAGACTAGTGAAATCTCTTTGACTATAGCCCCTAGTCATTCTTCTGGTCTGAAATGGAATTCACTCCCATGGCCAAACAACAGACAGGCCTACAAGGTGGACAATAACGCCGGGAAGGTGTACTTCTTAGAATAATCAACCAGGGGAGATCAGCACAGGGCAAAAGTTAGGAAGGCAGGGATGCATAGGAAAGGACACAGGGAAAAGGTAAGCACAGGGAGGAAGTGGGAAAAGAGCTGTTACTTTATGGGGATTGCAATCAATGTCATGAAACAAAATGTGTATGAACTGTTGAATGGAAAACAAACTTGCTCTGTAAACTTTCACCTAAATCACAATAAAAAAGTTAAAAGAAAAGACATTGAGGGTCCTAGAAGAATGCAGACTTATCTAATAACATGGAGCTAGTGAGTACGGGGATGGCAACTCACACACACAGCTGAGTGACTTCCATGCTCTCCCAGCTGGTTCTGTTTGTGATTTGTCTGGAGATCCTAGGAGTTTAGTAAAAAGGAAGTACAGGCACATTTCACAAATCTGCAATCTGTAAGTATTTCACACATGACTTCCCGTGTATTCGTAAATAGTGCACTAAGGAAGAGCTGAGGGTTTCAGAAGATGAAGACAATTAGGAAACGCTGGCGATACTGTATGAGAACACAGAGCTAAAATTTTCTGGGGACTTCTGAGATCTCACCTGGAACCAACGAGCTGGTCCACAGGGGCAGGTAAGAAATGCAGAGAGATTTTCTCAAGTCCTTGGCTGTGACCTCATTAGAGGGGTTCTTTGACTTGAAGTTCCTTTAGAGCAGTTAAGAGACATGAGAGCATTGTGGGAAAAGAATGGGCAGGAAGAAGGAGTATCTGGTTTTAATTGTTTCTGCTGCTTTCTAACTCTATGATTTTGGTGAGTCACTTGCCCAAAGTCACATAATAGGTAGAGGTAGAGCACTAGTGTCTTCAGCTGCTCGCAGAAGAACAGACTTGGGAGTCAATGGGCTGAGGTTGGTGCAAGAAAAAGAGATTTAAGCAAAGCTCATCAAATAATACCACAGGCAACTTGATCTTTAAAGCAATCAAGTGATGGGTCCAGACCTTGAACCTAGGTCTGTGGTTCTTCCCTCATACCATCACACACAGCTATCTCTCAGACTGAATAAATGGAGATGCAAAGTGGTCATTGTTGGGAAGGAAGTAGGACAGGATAGAAAGGGGTGGCATGATTTAGTAAATTTTGCAAAAGTTGAGATTCAGGGATAACTGGGGTCAAATGCTTGTTCAGCAACTTCCCATTGTGTGAATTTGGCTCAGTGATAATTACATCCACAAATATTTCTTCAGCATTAGCTCCATACCATCATATATGCAAAGCATGTATTATTTCCATTCATAACATACTTTCTGATTAGGGGTTTCCATAACTATTACACCATTTTAATAACCAACTAATTAGCTGACATTTGGATTGTTCTAAGTATTGAAGCCACTATAGGATAATGTCTAACAAAAAAATAATAACAACAAAAATAACTAGGATTAATGCTAATAAATTATACTAAACTAAACTAAGTAGGCAGAGTTAGAGAGTCTGAGCAGTACAGAACCAGAACAGGAAAAAATGGAAACAAGACTCATCATATCTCATGACTGGTGAAGGAGAGTAAGGGTGAAATTCATTCAACACTTGACAATTCAGTCATCATACGTGGGACTAGGGGAAATGGAGATTGCCCTTGTATTGCAAACAGTCTTATGGGATCTTTTGCCTCTGAACATTGGGACCTCTCAAGATTCATGCTGGTGCCTTCTTAGGATGTGTTTATTACCTGTAATGGATAGACTATGCCAAATACTATAGAAAAATCCTCATGAAACCAAGGTTTTAAGGTTTTCCAACTCCATACTACTAGCCTCTTTCTCCAAAGGACAGATCACCTGTGGACTAGTGGGCTTACAATTTCGGGAGGCCAGATCCTGGGAGTACTATACATTTTAAGTCAAATGGTGGAGAGAAATTTTTTTTTTCTTCCAGAATTGACAGCACTGTCATGATACCACAGCACATGCCCAGTGAGTCTGTCGTGGTCCTCACACCAAATGGCTTCAAGTTTCCCCAAACAGAGCAACCCACACCCACCAACCAAGGACAGGTTAGCTTGATGAAACATCTAAAGACAGAGATCAAAGTTCTTGGGGTGAGTACAAATCAGAAGAGATTTGGTTTGGGGGAGTACAGCAGGAAGGGACCATACATGTCTTGGGCCTGGCAATCCACTGCAACCTGGAGACTCTTAAATTTTGCCGAAGGGACTCCAAGATGATCTGGAGACAATAGAAGCCACCTGGAGAGCTATGTGAACCTCTCCAGACTTTCACCATATGAGGTGCCATTTAAAAATATCCTTTCCTGTATCTTGAATATGAGCTTTTGAGGTTTTGGTTTTTAGTGTTGTTTTTGTGTTTTTTCAATACAATGTATGTGTGTGTGTGTGTGTGTGTGTAAAATTGCAAAAATACAAAAACAGTGAGTGTATATACACACATATATATTCACATTATACACACACACACACACACACATAGTGTAGTGCCTAGAGACACCAAAGGAATGCATAGGAGCTCTGGTAGCATAGTGCCTAAGGCACTTGACTGCTAACCAGAAGGCCGGCAGTTCAAACCAATCAGCCACTCTTCAGAACGAAGGTTGGGCAACCTACTTCTATAGTGATACTACCTCAGAAACCCAAGGAGGGGTCGCTATGAGTCAAGGCTGACTCGACAGCACATAACAACAACAACAATAGTGTAGTGCCTAAGGCACTTGACTGCTAACCAGAAGGCTGGAGGTTCAACCCACCAGCCCCTCCTCAAAAGGAAGATTGGGCAACGTACTTTCGTAGTGATACCACCTCAGAAACTCCAGGAGGGGTCACTATGAGTCAGGTCTGACTTGTTGGCAAATAACAACAACAGACACACACACATGTGTGTGTGTATATATATATATATATATATATATATATATATATATATATAAGGTACACCTACTCCTCATTTACCAACTATCTCATTATCAAACATTTTGCATTTATGACAAGAGTAAAAACTCTACTATCTGACTATTTTGTGCATTAACCACATATATTTGGCAGTAGCAAATGCCGTGGTGTAAGGTGAGAGTGATGCTGGCTGTGATAGTTAAGGTTACGTGTCAACTTGGCTGGGCCATGATTCTCAGTGATTTGTCAGTATATAATGATAAATTTTAGCAGTTTGTAATGATGTAATTTGGTGATTATGTAACAATATAGTCAGCCTCCATTTAGTGATCCGATGTGGCTATCCTCCATTTTCATATAACACCTATTTTCACATAATGACTTAGTCTTTGGAACTTAACCTTGTCAATAAGTAAGAAGGGAGTGTATATATTTCTCTTCTACAAACACAATGGTGGTAAATAGGAGAGACTGGAGGCTGGCATATGTGAAACTCCCTCACTATTCTCCCGCACAAGCCCTCTCCATCTCTCCATCGTGTGCCCCTCCCCTCTCCTTTCTTTTTAATAACTTTGGTTCATGTGGGGAAACAAAAAGTTATGGTGATAAATAGTTACATATGTTTTCTGTAGTTTCTCCTATGTATTCTTCAATTATGTGCTTAATAATCCAATTGATTTTTCAAAGGGAATTTTTTTTTTTTCTCACTGCAAATTACTGGAAAAAAAATAACTTCCTCTTCCCATTTCCTCTTTTTATTTTGAGAACAGAAGTGATATCTATCTTGTGTTTGTCTCTTCCCATCCATTGCAGATACTCTATTAAGTAAGTGAAGGGAGATGAGAGGAAAGTATATATCTAGGACTGGGAAGAAAAATACACAGGTCCAGTTTTTAGAATTATCTCTGCACCAGTCTCCTCTGTTTGATCAGGCTTCAGAACCTTGTGAGACTGGTTACGTTGCTTCACATATACAGTAAAGTTGATGACTGTGAGTCTTACATGATGTAAGATCTGGAAAACTGCTCAATCGATGTTAATAGAGCTATAATTCTCTGAGGTAAGGGGAATGTCAGGGAGGAAAACATCACCTCCTGTGGTAGAGCTTCAAGCTCTTCAACAACAGGAACATGGGTTGAGGAGCCCAACAAGGGGCCAAGGTCCATGTTGATGTGCCCCGTGGTATCTGAAGGATGTAGGTAGGGGTTTCCACACTGCCAGCACTCAAAAGAATGTGAAAGCTCTGGTACCCTCCGTTCCTGTAAGATATGGGAGTAAGAGCTGAGAGTTACTAACAATGGACTCGGAGTACTAGGAAAAATAGCCCAGCACTCTTCATGAATTAGGAACAAAGTTTTTGAGACGACAAGGGCTTGAGAGGCAGAAATTCCTGAAGGTTTGCTGAGTACTCAACAGACAGTACAAAACTGTTGTGTGTGTCTGTGGGTGGGTGGATGAGGGGCAGGGCAGAACAGCATCCCCTACATAATGTCTTTCCAGATTCCTCATTCTCGAGTTTCACAGTGTCTGCATCCTTGCTGAGGTCTTGCAGACAATGACAATAGTTGGACATTTTGTGAGGGGTGAAGAGGCTCTGATCTTACAAATGCTGTTCTTGTTTTTTTTGTTGTTGTTGTTTTTGTTTTTTTAACCTCAATCTCCTTTCTTCTCCCAACAGACTATCCAGATCCTGTGTGGGTTGATGGTGTTCAGCTTGGGACTCATTTTGGTATCTTGTCCCTTCTCTCCTCAATTCACTCCAGTGTTTTCCACCTTGTTGAAGGCTGGCTACCCATTCACAGGTGCCTTCTGTGTGAGTAAACTTCCTAGGAGGACAGGATGGGGTGGAGGTGGGAGGAAGAAGCCAATAGTTTAGACTGTTCATCTGTCACTTTCCTACGTTTCTATCCTTCAGGAGCAAGGGGTCAAGGGATAAATCTCATTCTCCTGTGTTTATAGCCCTGGGATGGATTGAGTAGGGTGAGAGGACAAGAATCTTCTGATTTGAGACCGATTTCTTAACTAATTCAAATAATCATTTCTTTTGAAGATCAGTTTACTTTTCACCTCACATTCTTCAGCTATGATGAGGCTAGTGTCTTCTCTCCACATTTAGAGAAAAGTCCATGAAATAGGAGAAAGTTGGGGAAAATGTTTCTGTACAGAAAAATGGCACCAGGGAAAGACACCACACACATGTAGAGAAGCTATGCTGATGTTTGTGAGAACTATGGGGGAAACAGCATTTCCAGTTCTGAGCCTTTGGAAAATGCTTTTTGCTGCATTTTGTGGCATTCAGAGAAGGTCAAACAGATGTTCATACTTCAGTGATGGGCTGGAAATTCTTCAGAGACAGATGCATGTCTGGGGTGAAGGGAATTTAGTGGTTGTTTTGTTTGGAGCCATTTTCTTCTAGATAGATGTGGTTGAATCTTTCTCATAATTAAGTTTCTTATTCATAGTTTACCATCATCTTCCCACCACATATCACTAGCTATCTTTTACTACACCTTTTTTATCTTTTGATCTGATGCACCCAGAAGTTCACCTTTTACTCTACTCTACCTTTTATTGGCTAAACTCAACACTTTCTATTTCACCAGTTTTCTCCCAATGTCCTTTCTCCTATGCCAAGATCTCCTCAAGATGCTACAAAACACTTAGCAGCTATATCTCCTGAGATTCTTCAAGACTGTTAACAATTTCTCATACTTTCCTTGTCTTTGATAACATTGATAATTTTGAGGAATACTGGCTATGAGTTTTTTGTTTGGTTGGGTTTTTTCAGTGGGGAGGGGTTTGGTATACAAGCAGCCCCCAGGTTGCAAACATCCAACATATGTATAACTCATTCTTGCCATTTAAGGTTATGTAAATTCTCTCACTTTGAAACAATTGAACCAGCCCTTACTCACAGCAAATTCTTCCTCACAATCACCTTCACTTGATGCATTTGAAGCTTTTAAATCATTGAAAAGGCTTCAAGCATTTTCTTACACTAAAATACGGCTAAATGAGAACCATACATACCTGCTCTTACCTACAAATTCTTAAAGTCACATCAATGTAGTTCATAACTCAGGTACTGCCTTAAAAAAAGAAAAAAACTGCCTTACTGTCCTTCAAATTAGATTTGATGAATGTTTTTCTCACATGTAGACTAAGGTGACAGGTTTTTGGGTGGTAAGAGTACAGAGGTGAAATACCATTCTTATCAATTCATCAATTAACTTTGCATGTTAACACCATGATTTGTTACAGGTGAAGTTAAACTTGATCACATGGCCATTTAGCATTTGCCAGGTCTCTCCACTGTAACGGTGCTCCTCTCCCTCCTCTTGTCATACTCTACTCTTTGGAAGCAAGTTACTAAGCACAGCTCACACTTGAGGAGGCATCTAGTGCATTTTTAAAGACTGAGCATTTATTTATGTTGGCTGTGGTGGCATAGTGTCTAAGGCACTTGACTGCTAACCAGAAGGCTGGCAGTTCAAACCCACCAGCCACTCCTCAGAAGGAAGGTTAGCCAATCTACCTCCATAGTGATACTGCCTCGGAAACCCAAGGAGGGGTCACTATGAGTCAGATCAGACTCAGCATTCAATGGCAGTGAGTTTGAGTAAACTAATACTGAGACCACTAGAAACACAATGTTTTTTCTTACCATTTTATCTAGTTTTTCCATTATTGAAAAATTTTTTGTTACTTTGTTGCTCTGAGTCTGTTGGGCCATGATGATACACAACATTTCCTTGAAAGAATGCACAGTATTCCTCAGAGGAGTTCCACAATGCTCCTCCCAGTGAAATAAGAGAATAAAATGGAGCTTTTGAGAAATAACAAATAGTCAGGAGGCTTGCTGACCTATAGAAGCTCAAGAACAGCTTGAATCTAGGTAAAGGTGAATATTAGAATACTGAAAATCACTCCTCTGTGCAGAGATTTAACATTATAATGAGATACACTAAGGGCCACCATCTTTATGTCCTATACTCTGTGGCTTAATCTGTTATTCTATAAAACCGTCTGCACAACATAGGAGCCCTGGTGTCATAGTGCCTAAGGCATTTGACTGCTAATCAGAAGTCTGGCGGTTCAAACCCACCAGTCGCTCCTCAGAAGGAAGATTGGGTAATCTACTTCCATAGTGATACCACCTCGGAATCCCAAGGAGGGGTCACTATGAGTCTGATCAGAGTGGATGGCAATGAGTTTTTTCTTCTTTTTCTTTTTTTTTTTTTAATGCATAACATGATTCTGATGTATCCTCACCCTGCAAAAGAAATTTGGAAATACCAAGAGGCAGACAGAATTTGAGGGAATTCCCCTCTCTGTCTCATCTTGTACACAAACTTAATAAAGGCTGTGTCCTTTGCTCTTCACCTTGATGTGTCTTCATTGGCTTAAGTCACCCCAGGCAATGGACTCAGGGTTTGGTGGGTATGAATGAGTACTGCAAGAGTGATTATTTCTTTGGTATACTGAACACAGCCTGAAGGTCTTTCTGCTATCAATCCTTATCCTTTTTAGTCTACCCCATGGAGCTACCAACTTAAGATCTATGTTTCCTTCTGTCTTCCAATATTTTTCAGCTGTCTTTATTATTTTCCATACCATTGCCTTCTGACCCTTCTCTAGATAATTCCTGACTCCAAAACATTCTTCTCTCATTAAAAAAAAAAAAAAAAATCCTGGCTTTTAAGGTCCTCATTTTGTTTATTGGATGGAGTCCTGCTCATACCGGCTTTATCACTTGGTTTTCTGAATGCCATATGAATACAAGGGCAGATGTACTCAAATGGGTCTTGCATCATTGTGCCTTGGTTCACCAGAGCTTTGCCTGTGGAAGTTTTCCATAAACACCATAATAGTAATATTGTTGCTACATCTGCACATAGACATTAATCTGACCTTTTTCTTTCTTTTCTGAATAGTTTATAATTGCTGGATCACTATCGATCATCACAGAGAAAAAGTCGATTAAGCCATTGGTGAGTATGAGAACTATAACTCACAGCTCTATGGAGCCAAATGAAACAGAGAGAACACTTCAAGGGCAATCTTGCCAATTTACAGTGTTGGAAACAGATCCAGAGCAGCTATTCAGCAGAGTCAAGAGTTGAGGCTAGATCTTCCATAGCCCTGTCCAGAGCACATTTCTCCAACCACTGTGCCCCAAATGACTGCTTGTCTTCAGAGTATTGTATTATAGCCTAGACAAGTGCCCAGGAATCTATCCTGGAAAAATGCTACCTCCTCAGGATGCTCTTTTGATGGTAACTGGCCTTCAAATTTAGACCTTCAATAATGAAGAAGTTGATAATGGTACAAAGAT